AATCCTGGATTTCCCTCCCTAATGGCATTGTGGGTCAACCCACAGCAGGACGACTGTAGTGGTTCAAAAAGGCAGCTCTACCACTTTCTCAAGCGCAACTAAAGACTGGCAATAAATGCTGGCCAGCATCCCACAAAATGAATAAATAATAAAAAAAAGTTTCTAGATCTTGCTCCTAAACACCTAAGCTGTAATCTTTTTGTCTTGGGTTCTCCCATCAGAGGAATTATTTTCCAATACTTGTCTTCCTAAATCTCTTAATGATTTCTGATCATTTTTATTTTACAGTTGCCTCGAACCATCTTCAATGTCATTAAGTGTTTTGAGGTACTTCATAGGACATTTGGCACTGCACGACAAAAAGGAGATATTAGGGCAGACATTCAAATAACTGATCAAAGAAGCACCTTTAAAGAACATCTTAAAGAAGGAACAGAAGGTAGACAGGCAGGGACTTCCTGAATTTAGGTTCTTGGCAGCTGAAGACATGGACACTAATAGCGGAGTGACACTTTTTATTCATTCATTGGATACAGAAGTTGCCAGCTAAGCCTGGATTTATTGCCCATAATTGCTCTTCATAGGTGGTGGTGAATTGCCTTCTTGAACTTCTGTCATCTTTTAGGTGTAAGCTCATGCACAGGACTGTTCGGAAGCGAGTTCCAGGATTTTGACCCAGCTTTTGGAGGAGAAAGTTCTGAAGAAGTCATACCAGTCAAAATGTTTCGAATCTGTTTCTCTCTCTATAGATATTGCCAGACTTGTTGAGTTTCTCCAGCATTCTCTGTTTGTTTCAGATTTCCAGTATCTGCAGCATTTTGCCTTTTCTTATCATAGTGATGAAAATTTGTTTTTAAAACTGAAGGCTGATATACTTGGAGATCGTGGGGGTCAGAACTGTGACCACTGTTTTCCTTTATAGGCAAGGTATAATACACTGAAGGATACAATTCTAATGGGAGTGCAGGAAAAGTGAGACTGAGGTTACATGTGTAGAAATCATTGAAGTTGTAAGGCCAGACTCAGAAAGCTGTTAAAAAAAATTGAGGATTCTGAGCTTTATAAATCGGTTGACAGTGGTGACCAAGTACGTTCTCCTGAATCTTTATCTTAAAAAGGGTAATCCAGCCTAAAAACAAATATTTTGTCCAATTCTAGGCATATTTCAGGAAGGATGTAAAGTTGTAGAAAAGAATTACTGACATGGTTTCAGGGATGTGGGACTTTAAATACATGGATAAATTGGAGAAGCTGGAGTTGTTGCCTTATAGAAGAGTAGTTTGAGATGAAAGCTGATAGACATGTTCAAAATCAGAAAGAGTCTAAGCCGCAGAGAGAGAAAACTTTCTTTCATCGTGGGAAGGGCTAAAAACCAAGGGACACAGATTTAAGGTGAAAGGTTAGCAAAAGAATCAAAAGCAACACGAATTTTTTTAGAGATAGTAGGAACTGCAGATGCTGGAGAATCCGAGACAACAAGGTGCAGGGCTGGATGAACACAGCAGGCCAAGCAGCATCATAAGAGCAGAAAGGCTGACGTTTCGGGCCTAGACCCTTCATCAGAAAAGCTTGCAGTGGGAGAGAGATCCCCTGAGGTTTGTCTGGAGGGAGGAGGGTAACTTCTTCAGGCTAGGCATCCTTAGAAGAGGCTTCGCAGTAGGGTTAAAATTGAATCAGAGATAGTAGGAATTGACTAGGAATGCCTACCTGTCAGGCTGTTGGAGGCAGAGTCAATAATGACCCTTCAAAGGGTATTCCACAATAAGCTGAATTGATGAAATGTGCAGCTGTATGGGGAAAGGGCGGGAGAGTGGAACCAGCTCAATTTCTCTGGCAGATCTGCCAGCAAGGAGTCGATAGGCTGAATAGCCTTCTTCTGGTCACCTTTTATGATTGAGTGATGGGTGACATTATAGGAATTTGCAATGTCGTGAATGATTTAGAGTGACACTGATAAAAGTTGTAGGATTATTAATGCCTTCGTAACTTGGCTGACAAATTTGCAACCAGGCTTTTGATGTTTGAGGCTTAACCAACACCCTCATAACCACGTGACAAGAACCGTATTCCCGCCCCTTCCGGTCCATTGGCGGGCAGATCTCGCGAGATTCGGTTGCTGGGAAGTGTAAGATGGCGGAGGTCGAACTAACGAAGAAAGTGGAGCGGTGTATGGCGGACGCAATAATGAAATTCGGTAAAGTTGCTTGGCGCGTATGCAGTTGAAGGCTCTGGATGGTTCTTCCCCGACCTGCGGACTGATTTTGATGGGTCCCTATGCGCAGTAATCGAGGCCGGGGCCTAGCCGGTCACTAATTGGGGTGAACGGGTGGCATCAGCTGCAACCCACTAATTAATGGCTAGCAGCGGCCTTATCCCTTCCCTTGTTTAGTCAGACAGTTCTAGCAGAAGGAATTGAAACTTTTGCCGTCCGCCCTCTGTGCTGGCCTTCCACAATAACTGTCCTGCTCCTTCGCCCCGGCCTCTGGTTTAGCTGCGATCCAACCGATATCGGCCTCTTTAGATTCCCCACCGCATGAAGAATCCTTAATGCTTTTACCTTGAGAGTAGATGTTGGTTGGCCCTTTGACCTTGGAAAAGGAAAATCAACACAGCTTGTGCTCCTGATCACTGTCACGAACGACTCTTGTTAGGTGTGATGGTGTTTGGATGTAACGCGGGAACAGGATCAGAAAATATTAGAGAAACACAGTTAAGCCTGTTCATGGAGTGAAAAGATAAATGTTAACGTTTCGGATCAACACACAATGTGCTGCGTTTTTCTGTAACTTTCTAGTTCGATTACCAATAACTGCAGTATTTTATCCTTCAATAAGGATAAGATCAGACCTCACTGTGATGCCTTGACAGTCCATTAAAGAAAGAAATCTATTTCGTATATTTTTGTGTTCAAATTCTTGCATGGTCATTTCTCTATAACCTCCACCTGCCTTACAACCTTGTGATGACTTTGTTCCTCCGCCAGTGACCTCTTGCCATCTTCACTGGCTTTCTCCATTCTTGGTAACTGTACTTTCAGTTTGCATTTTAAGCTTTGGAATTCCCTCTGTGTCTTTTTCTCTGCTTTTCTTTGTCCAGTTAAGAAATTCTTTAAGGCCTGACCCGTTATCCTAATGTTTGCTTCACCAGAACTCGATCACAAAAATCAAGGCTGGTGTTACTGTAATAGAGTGCTGCATTGATGGGGGCTGCTATCTTTTTGATTGAAATTAAAACAGAGGGCCCTGCCTTTGTTGAAGAATGTGTGAGTTATCCCTGTTATCATAGCCAATGTTTATTGCATAATCACAGCACAAAAACAGTTATCTGGTTCTTACCACATTATTGTTTGTGGAATCTTCTGTACAGAAATTGGCTGTCATTTTCCTACATTTCTAATTGTGACACTTACAAAGTACTCTGGCTGTAAAGCACTTTAGGACTTCTTGTTTTGAAAGGTCCAATATAAATGTGCCTTAATCTCTGTCTGATTACACTTGTGTACCATGCTTTGCTGTACGCAAGGTGCTATTTAAATGCAAGTTATTACAATTGTATCAACTAATTTACACTTTCAGGGTATCCTAAAGTACTTTATAGTTTTATGATGAAGAGCACTGTATTTGCCCGCATGAATGCGACTCCAGCAACGTCCAAAGCTTGATGCCATGTCAGACAGAGGAGCCCATTTGATTGGCACCTCATCCACTGTCCTACGTATTCACTCCCTCTATGGTGGCCATGTGTACAGCACCTACAAGATGCACTGCAGGAACTCATCAAGGATCCTTAGATGACACTTTCCACACCAAAGCCTATATTGGCCAGAAAAACGCAAGCAGCCAGTGCATGGGAGCACCACACTGACAAGTCACACGTCATCCTGCCTTTGAAGTATGTTAACATTTGTTCATTGTCACTGGTCAAAATCCTGCAACTTCCTACCTAATAGCCCTGTGAGTGTACCTACCCCTGATGGACTGCAGTGGTTGAAGATGATGGTCATCACTGCCTTCTTGAGGATTATTAAGAATGGGCAGTAACTAATGGACTAGCCACTGATGCCCACTGTGAATAAATAAATTACTTTTTGCATTATTATTGGTGTGAATATCTTTGCAAACACATCAACCAATTTTTAAATAGCACAATCTTTCTTATCTTCGTAATTGGATAACTGTTGGTTAGGACAGTTATGGTTTTATGTAAGTACCTATGTTTTTTGTTCTGCAGAGTTCTTAAATAATGCTAAGTTGTTGTGGAAATGCAACATTTGTAGCTCTACAAATTGCTGAATGATTGTTGAAGTGAATATTGTACGTGATTTGCTATAATGACAAATCTGTTGGGAGAAAAAAACTAGTTGATCTGTGGCATTGCACAGGGAATAAAACTAACCACTTGTGCATTTGACAATTATCTGTCACATGACATGGACCTTTTAGATCAGCTTGTTATCCATGTATCACAGAATTTAGATAAAGGATTTTACAACCCTTGCAAAACCCAGGTTGTAAATGTATATGCTTAATGTCCACCAGGAAACATACCAAAAAGACAATAACAGTAAGAGAAAACTAGCTGAAGCTGTGTAGAAAATAGATTGTTTTCATATTTCAGCATCTGTGAAATCTTTGCTTTGCTAGATGCTATTTCATGAAGAGTGGAATGCAGCCAGGTGTGAATCGGATCTGATGACTGGTGTTCTCTAGATAAAATAACTGCAAACTTCATTATCAGTGGTTATCCCTACTAGCACTTGCTCTATTCTTAGCTAAGTTTGGTAAGGTGTGAAGATTTTGCATTTATATGGACGCTTTTCAGTACCCATTCATATCTAAAAGCAGTTTTTCACAACCGTTGACTAGTGGCACAGCCTCGATAGGCTGAATGGCATATTTCTATTCCTGTGTTTTATGGTCTTATAGTTCTACGCTGAAATGTGTTGATAGATGATAACTATTTTAATGAACGTGTTTGGACATGTTATGATACAGCTTTGGCGCAGGGGTGACTTTAACCTGGACCTTCTGACACATGCTGGAATTCTGGAATGGGGTTTGAAAATGTCACCTGGTGAGAGCTGCTGCTAACAGAGAAGCTGACTCAGATCCCACACCCTGACCTTAGAAAGATTATGAAGCTGTGCTTTGAGTAGACACTACCCTGTGTAGGACCAAACCTGTACATAGATGAAGAAAAAGTAATTAGATGGGAAGATTTTGCATGACACACTGAAATTCTCTAAGATGGTGATTGAGGACTGTTGCATAATATAAACGGATTTGTGCTATACTGTGTATAGACTTTCAGGAGGATAGCAAACATGAAACTGTTGGAAGAGATTAATGGCAATGGAACTGGAATGCTTGGTCAGTGCATTGGGTATAGGAGTAGGGATGTCATGTTGTGGATATACTAGAATTTGGTTAGGCCACTTTTGGAATACTGTGTTCAATTCTGGTCTCTCTGCTAAGGAAAGATGTCAAATTTGAAAGGTTTCAGAAAAGATTTAAAAGAATGTTGTTGGTGTTGGAGGGTTTAAGAATAGAGAGAGGCTGAATAGGCTGGGGCCATTTTCCTGGCAAGTTGGAAGCTGAGGAGTGATCTTAGAGGTTTATAAATCATGAGGGGCATGGATAGGGTAAATAGGATCTTTTTCCTAGGGTAGGGGACCCCAAAACTTGAGAGGTTTAAGGTGAGAGTGGAAAGATTTAAAAGGGACCTAAGGGGCAACATTTTCACGCAGAAGATGATGCATGTTTGGGATGAGCTGTGAGAGGAAGTGGTAGAGGCTGGTACAATTACAACATTTTAAAAGGTATCTGAATAGGTACCTGAATGGGAAGGGTTTGGAGGGGTATGGGCCAAATGCTGGCAAATGGGATTAGATTAATTTAGGATATCTGGTTGCCATGGACAAGTTGGACTGAAGGTTCTGTTTCCATGCTGTACAATTCTATGGCTTTAGTGGGAAGGCAGCTGATGGGATTAGAACTGTTGGAAAATTGGAAACAGAACTATGATTAAAGCTGCTTTCTCAATATTTGGAAATAAATAGTGGCGTCCCATAAGATTCTAGTTAGTAGAGTTTATTTTTCATCAGTGATGCGGATTTGGGATTAGAGAGTGTGCTGTCCAGATTTTCAGAGATACTAAAAAAGAGACATTGCAAATCATTTTGACAATTACAGGAAACAAAGTGGATCTTGAGAAGAGAGTGAAATGGGGAAAATGAGCAGTGGATGGAATTCAATGTCAGCAATCTGATTCAGTTAAATGAATGATTATGCTTTGGACAAAAAGCTTGGTGATATGGTAGAGAGGATCCAAGTGAAGTTAGTAAAGTTAGCATAGAGAGAATTTTGACAATCTGGAGAATACACCAGTGGGTAATGGGGACTAATATAAAGCCTTCATAAAAGCTCTAATTGTGTGCATTTCTCAGTTTTGCATGAAGGATGTTGGGTAACTGAGAATTACAGTGCAGATTACGTATGTAGAATAGGGAATTAACACAGAATAGTAGGAATTTTGGCAATCAGTCGAGAATATGTGAATACGTCATGGTGAATAATATAAAGCCTTAGTATCAGTGTGCAGTTTGGAGTTTTACACCAAGGATGTTGAGGCAGTTGAGATTCACAGTGCACATTAACATTGTTATATCCTAGAATAAAGACTTGGAAAAATTGTAGTTCATTTCAATAAAGCTGAATGCATTAAGGGGTAATTTGACAGTGGCATTCAAATTCATAGTGATGGAGCAGTGCAAATAAACTTTCTGGTGATCAAAGGGTCAGGAATGAAATGATCTAGATTTAACATTTAATGCAAGAACTTTAGAATAGAAAGCAGGAGAAACTTTCTCTTTCTAACACAGGTAGGAAAGTATGTTGTGAAAAGTACCTAAGGAGGCTAAATGGCAAGAGATTGCGGAGATGCAGAGGGATCTGGACGTACTCTGCACGAATTGAAAAAGGCCAGTATGAAGATACAGCAAGTAATTAGAAAAGCTACCAGAATATCAGCATTTCTTGTGTAGAGAATTAAGTATGAAAGTAGGGACGTTATGCTTCAATTATACAGGGCATTGGTGTGGCCACACATGGAGTACTGTGTACAGTATCAGTTACCTTATGTAAGGAAGGATCTATATGTACTGGAAGCAGTTGAAAGAAGATTTATTAAACTAAT